GGCTAGCCTTATAAGGGCAGGGAACAGGCGAAGGCAGAGGGGGGGGGGGTACAGTGGAAGTACTGTACCCCGCAGTTTGAGGCAACCTCCCGTGCACATTTGACACGTGCTGGGATAATCTTTCTTCCGTGGCTCCGTGCCCACGGTAGTTGAGCCACGAAAGAACTGACTCTGGTTATACCGTTTTGATTACTGGGGAATCTCGGCGTGAACACTTGTGGGGACAATCATGATTGGATCTGTTCTAATCAATAATATGGATCAATATTTAGCACAACAATTAACTCACTGATCGGATTCTTGGACCACCTGGGAATGCCAGAATTCAATTCCAAAAATTTTCATTCCTACGTCGTTCTCTTTTTCGATGATCGTTGGAGGTTCTACTAACATCTTTTTGCAGTACCTAAACAATTGCCAATCTGCGAGACTGGCTCAGTTGAAAGGCTGAAGTGTACAGACCCTCTCAGAGTGGACAACGGTGTCTGTTGGTCTCTCCACTGCATTTCGCCTTGAATCGTGTACTGGGCACTTAGCCCGACTGTAGCTCGCCATTTGGTAAGAAGGCGATTCTCGAGATCGATACTGGTTGAGCCGATTGTATCGTCTGAATGGTAAATTTTTCCAATTTTTAGTCCAGTTTTAAGGACTACTTTCACATCGGTGCCTCCGCATATACTATGGAATAGGTATCGATTTTACGCTCTCGCGCAGCTGCAAAACCTTCAAAACTCACCACTAATTAACTTCCTATAGTCCATTATAGATACAGTTAAATCTTTTTCAACAGGAATGTTAACTTCCATCTCGATACATTCGCCGAATACCGGTTCCACTGTATCGGCCCGATATTTTTTCTTCATGCTAACCTAGAACAGATGGATGTATGCATTCGATCGTTGGTCATTTCCTAACTCATACCATTAAATACCTTTTTCTTTCCACATCTGATCAGCAGATACGGATCACACATTCCGTTTTTACGCTGCGATACCAGTTTTCTTGCCTCCACAACGTATACTCGTAGTAGACATTTTACTACACCGAGAAATTCTACACCAGGAGGGTCCAGAAGTACTGAAAAGAACAAAAATTACACAATGCGCCCTATAAGATACTGTTGATAACTAATTGAAGTTCTCGGAAAGTTTGAAATGTTCAAGACCGTATCTCCAAATGATGGGGATCCAGGGGTAAGCTGCAGAGGTTCCGCCTGCTCTAATGAGCCACGCCCCTGATAGTGATGGCACTCATTCATATGCAATCAAATGCCTCATATATGTACACGGTTCCAAATGGGTGGGAGCTCTTTATTTATTACGAACTTCTTTTACCTGTTTGAAAAGGACGAAGGAGGCGTGCTTCGGGATTGTCTAGAGCTTTCGAAAAGTCACTCCCTCGACTTCCTTCAGAATCGCACCGGCGTTCTAATGGGTGCTTCATCAACCACTACGGTGAGGTGCGTTGTATGCCTTCCAGAAGACATGCCCCTGGGCGGTATCAGTACTATGGGCGGAGGGTTCAGTCTGAGTAGAGCTCGACAGACCAAGTGAGTGGCGCTTCTTCCCGCTAAGGGAATTCATTTGTTGCTTTTCAAGATGGTAACAGACCCCGAAACGCCTAGTTAGACATGCCAAGTTAGCCCATACTACTGTGAGAATTCCCCCGTTCTTGAGGATTCCACTCGTTCTTGGCTCAATCATGATTGATTCCTCCAAGGAGCAACTATTTCGAACAACAGCAACAGCCCAGTGGAGTTCCTCTTTAATGAAAAATATATGAGTCAAACGAATTCACCAGAATCATCCTTTTCGGCAATGGGCATGATGAAAACTTTCCCTTTCAATTGACCACTCTTCTCTTTCTCCTCAGGATCGTCGAAGTTCCCCTGAAAAAGGAGAAACGTCTGTAAGAAAACCTGATTCTCGGAATGGGGACCACGCAATGACTAACCCGAGAGCTTTTCACAAAATTGAACGTATCCAGAAAATCTTCAAATCCACTATATCCATTTACATCTTCCAAAGCATCTTGAAAGATTGTCAGACGTTCAATGCCCGACCTGCAAGCAAAGAGTTAACGTACCCGATAGAGACTACCCTGCTGATACTGAAAAGACTAACTCTTCGAATCCAGGAGCTTTTTCCGGATGACCAAGTGAAAAGTAGTACTTGCTCCACCAATCCAGTGCCGGTTTACCCTCCTTACTTAGTGAAGCGATAACAGGCGTGGAAGCCAACTCGGTGTCTTCCGTGTCAACAGTTGAGTCATACTTGGACCAATCGTTCTTGTCCGATACCTCCTTCTGTAGTTAAAGCTATGGATAGTTAAGGTGTCCAGTGATGCTCCTCAAATGGGAAATTACCTTTTTCGACTGAAATCTTGTGTATCGGCTAAAGTTCGTGATATGACAGACGCCCACTAGGGGTTGCCTCTTGAAAGCCCTTGTGTCGTACAAATTGATAACTAACGGTGGGCTGAACTCGAGATCTGACGGCAGTGAAACCTTAATTGCATAGATTACCGTATTTTTAGACCGGTTGTAGGTTGTACCCACTCGTTTTCGGTCCTCTATGGAAGAACATCGAGTTACAGTTGATATGACTAGCACTAGTGAATCAAATAAACCAATCTCAATCCATGAGGATCGTTTTTCTTACCTTGCAGCCCTGATTGCCCCAGGCGACTTCCGGATATGTACCTCCCATTTTGGCGCCCGTCCAGCCCATTGCCCTTGTATTCGTTCATAACAATTTCACAGTGAGCTGAGCATAATTGTGCATGCTCAGATATATACCATTTACACTTCAAGTTTTCAAGGCCTTTTCAGCTAAAACTACAGCCTCCATTGCCCAACTCTAGTAGGCCTTATGGTTGGATTTAGTCAGCGTGGAAGTTAATCGCAGGCGATTACCTAACATCGTGCTAAACATCGATAAGAAGTATCTCCATGCATACTACACCTAATCTTTTGGAATACTTCTTTAACACCCCTTGTAACCCTGGAAATGGGAAGTACCTAATGGGTAATCACCCATACATAGCCTTTTCTCACAAATCAATAGCTTAGAGTGTAATGACTTACCATGGGAAACGTGATAAGCGGAGTTTCAAAGTTCGGATCTTTGGCGACGTTTGGGAGGGGGTCAGTACGAGTATCCATGTCACCAATAATGAGTTCTAGGAATGGTTTTCGGACAGAAAGGAACTGAAAACAGTCAATAACAAAGAAGGTCATAGACAATAAAAATATTTCTGAAGAGTCCTCTCTATGAAGGGTGTTCCATTGGGAGATGAAGAATGTGGGTAGGTGGTTAACTAGGAACTAGGCGGTGAGGACTAAGCTGGATGATGTCACTCGGGCAGCTCTAGCACTGCTCAACCGAGAACGAAGAGATGGAGGAAGAGCTCAATTCACAATCGGAATGTATATTACCATTTCTCTCTCGGTCTGACAACATATAGTCCTCAAAACGAACTCACCTGATACTTTTTTAGATTTCTAACTCCCCAACAAAGAACTTGAATAGCGAAATTCTGGAATTTCGGTCTCAATTCACCAGGTACTTCGAATCGATCACTGAACGACATCACAGTATCGTCAAGGACGCCTTCCCACATATAATCCTCAAGAGCATCTTACTCCACAGATTTCCTTGTCGGCAGCAAAGGAAGGGAATTTTTCGTGGATTCGTCTTGACAAAAAAGTTCAAAGCACGCGAGCACTGCTCCTCTGAAACCGAGATTTGCAAACTACAGCATGGACGATTTGTTTAAATCTCTTGTTGACTGCCTATTTATTTTCCCCGCGGGACCATACTGAACTGTTATACTTGGTTGGAAGAACTTTGACTCCTACCCTACTTCTTGTTTAGTTCTTTTCAGTTCTGTAGTCGGTAGGCTTAAGCGACACAAATAAAATTCTAGTTCCCAAGAAGGTCCACGATTTTTCTGCATCACCTTTTCCTTTGCCTCTGATGGTGGTCCTTCAGCCAAATTCCTGCGAAAGGCGGGAAAGGGTAGTTACCGTAATCTCCCACTGTAAATTCGAGTCTCCCCCTTCATATCGCGCAATCGGGTGCGGCGAGTAAAGCACGCCCTCTGGACACATAAACCGTCACCCCTTCTCTCCCATTTAAAACTCGCGAATACGTGCGATCGGATGCTGTTAGCGCGGCTTGCCGTCCAGGTAGAGGAATCCCTCACCCATGACCCCACTAAAGCCTAGTACGTATGTTGTAAATGTAGTCAAACCTGGATTTCCCGAGCTGGAATGTGAGGGTGTTCCATTTTGGTTTCGCCCGTGAATCAGTCGACGTACAGATCACGGTGGGATTCACTTCAAAGCGCCCGAGAAAAATCTGTAAAGTCAAGCTTTTTTGTCTGCTCTGAGACAGTGACATAGCTGATAGAACCTCGCTGCCGTTCGTCTGCTCTCCACGAGTCTCCACGATTATGGTGGGCGGATTTACACTAATTTGCCGTTTGCCTCCCGTGATAAGTACCTAAATAGGGCATTCGATATAAAGTTTCTCGGTGGAGGTCACAGCTTACCTTGTCAAATATGAGCGTCTCGTTCCAGACAGGATTTTGCGAATCTTCGACGACTAGCGTTTGTTTCGATTTTGTGAGAAATATCACTCGGACAAACGCTCTGGCAGAGTTCTTCACTACTGGGAGAAGGTCCTTAAAGAATCGATTTGAAGAATCTCATTCTCGCTCGGGAGGGGTGGTCAGCCTTTACCTAAATTACCACGACAGCAGACACAAACATAGAATCATAGAAAGGTTTCGCCTCAAACGCAGTCATGACCCGGTGGGAATGCNAATTCATAATTTTTTCACCTTAGCCCATAGGAAGTAGCATCGCAACTGCCACGTAGTAGTCGTTTCATGAACTTCGTACATACGTGGAATGGAATACATTTCGTTCGCACGTTCTTGCGGTGCATTCCTCAAAATGGATTCAACATAAACCTCTAAGCCCATGTGGGGTCCGATGATCAAACAGAATGACCTCTTTTTAAAATATCCTTCTGGCAATGAGACTATTACCTATCAAACCCCGGGAAGTACATGGCTGTTCGTGGTTGAAAATCCTCCCACGAAGCTCTATGCCCCTTAATTTGTTGTCGGAGTACATATAGAGGTGTCAAAGCTATAGTCAGTCTGTGTATCCCAAAACCGACAGTCTTCATAATATCACGGTCACTGTCGGTAGGAATTCTATGGTGTCGAACCTCCCTAGAGGAATCTATCACTTGTCCCATATGTTCAGAACCTCATAAGCCGTAGTGAGTATCCCTCACTATAGTCATGATGCTCAGACGTCAAATATTTGGATTCCCACTGACGCTAACCTCGGTCAAGAACAGAATTTCGAGGAACTCACTTAGTCCGCTCTATCTCCACAACAAATCTTCTCCTTCGAATGCAGTCACCACTGGTTTCCCCGTAGTGGAAAGCCTTGTTTTTCCCAGAGGCATACTGTAGAATTTTATGTATACATTTCCAATCGCTGAACAAGTCACCTACATGAGCTTACCTCCCACTTGGTGTCCCCTAATGAGCTCTGATACGTTTCAAAGTTTTGATACTTAAAGTCGATAGCCTTACGAGTTCTCTTGATGCATCTTCTTCGATATTTATGGTCCGCTCTGAGCAACATTAGTTAAGTTCCACAATTTCATTCAATAGGAATGTGGACTGACTGACCTTCTTTCGGTATCCACCGTACCTGGCTCTCCCCAGAATACATCCGTGATTGAGTAAACCCATCCACTTTTGTCACCGTAGTTATTATGCGTATCCGGTACCCATTTACCTTCGTATTTCCACCCTATCATTCAAAATTTAGAACGTTTAGTTGGATACCAGACAAAACCTCAAAGTACAAAGGCAAAGAACTGATTTTCTCCGGGAAAGGTCGAATTCACCTTTTCCTGGTTCGCTTAGTCGTGACGTTCTGATTTCACCACCATAGTAATCCGTAAACTTCAACGGTCGCCATCTGGAATTTATCAGAGAATCCCGAAGAGAGTCTTTTTCTTCGATTTCTTCCTCATTCCATACGATATTTGAAGAAGAAGTGGATGCTGTACTGTGATACGATTTCAATTACTCAGTTATTTCTTTATTTCCTTCACTAGTGAAATGCATGAGTAACAAATAACCCAGCCCCTGGTACTGGCATTCTGAGGTATGCCATTACTCATACGAACGTACTGGGTGATGGCGCACTGCTTTTGAAGATTGACATACTCGTAGTAAGCGGCTGGACCTAACAAACCGTCATGTTAGTACAGTAAAGAAGCTTCGACAGCTAGTAACTGAACCAATTGACCATGGTGCCCTCATTCTCTCGGGAGTAGAGAAGAAAGGCGGAACTTCAGACGGCGGGAATGTCAACTTTTCTCGTGGAACCGGCTTATATGCTAGGGAATGAATGACGAGGAGGAAGCGGACGGATCTCACACACCGCTCAATATGAACTACCGATAAAAGCAGACTTTAGCTTGCCCCCTACAATTTTGAACGAGGGTAGTTAGATGAAAGTTCCGCACAATTGAAATCTTCCACAGAACTGTGACGTTAGACGACCAGAAAGAGTCAGAGTTGATGGACCTCGTTTCGATAAATAGTCGAGCTTCGATCGCGCAATTTGGAGCGGTAAATCCCTATCAAACTCCAACTTCGTACTCAATGAAGCTGTTGCCTGCATGTACTATGATGATGCATGTATTGGGTGTCCCAAAAGTTTGAGAAAATTTTGGCCATGAATTTCGCTACCATATTGCGCAAGAAAGCGCCGAAGCAGAGCCACGGCAAAAGGGCAGGAAAAGGGCACTTTTGCTTGATCGTCAAAACAATAGAAGAGAAAGAGAGAGGACTACTTCTGCTCCCCGTTCCACCATACACGACATCCTGCGCAGACGTCGCTTTTGCGCAGCACTTCCTAGAGTTATCCCCCTTACCTTGACTGAAAGCGAGCGTCAGGTGCGGGTCGATGTGTGTCGGAAGCTACATGACCGCAAGCGAACGGTGGCTTGGATGAGCTTCATCACCGCTCAGGATGAGAAGCGGATTTCTTATGAAAATCCATACAGGAAGTTGCAATGGCTACCAATCGACATAAGCCAGAAGCCGTTGAAAAGCGTGGGACACATGTCAAAAAGGAGATGCTCTCGTTCTTCTTCTGCTCCGCTTTCACACCAAATGCAGGGAAAGTCTCTGATTTTGTTGGACAACGCTCGACAGCATCATGCTAGGGCGACGGCTGAGAAGCTGGAAAGGTGGGATTACCTGGCTACCGCATACTCCGTATTCACCTGACCTTAGCCCTTGCGATTACCACGCCCCAAAGGGGAAAAATTTCATAACCGTCAGGAGGTCAAAAGTGCAGTAGATGAATAGATCGCGTCGCGCCCCTCCTCTTTCTGGACGAATGGCATCAGTGCTCTGCCCAATCGATGGAGGGGCGTCGTGGTTAATAAGGGCCACTATCTCGTTTACTGATCTCACCCTTTTGTTGCAGTATTTTTGTGTTGAATAAACCAAATAAATTTTCTCAAAACTTTTGGGACACCCTAGATGACGTACTATAATGTAATCAAAAGTCTCTGCGACTACTTACTCTCCATTTCGCCATTCATGAACTTCAAACAGTTTGTCCTCAATCGTCTGTCGACCGTCACTCGAGCATACCCACATATCGTGACTGTTCCTCACAACCCAGTTACTCTGAATATCAGGTTTTCGGAGGAAAGCAACCAAAATCAAAGAAACTATAGAGAAGGCATTGCTGTGGCCGCCTTCGCTTCTGTGTATCCCAATATGTATGTATTCTGTTGACTGCCTTTCTTCTTTGGTCGGNCTCATTTCCCCAGGTTCGCTTTACAGTATGCAGCAAATCTTTTCAAGTTGCCCTACGTCATCAAACTGCAATTACCGTACTCAACCAGCCTCCCGGCCATTCGATAGGACACCATATTTCTTGTTGACTGCCTTTCTTCTTTGGTCGGTTTTGATTTTTTTTTTCTTGTTTGTTTCTATGTTTGTTAGATTGACTGCTGACGGCACCACTCCTTTCTTATTGTCGACGATCAGGACCGCATTGGGACTGAGGAAAGCGGCCAGCAAATGTAAATAATTAAAGGGCTCCCTAACACCTACATTGGGCACTCCAATCTTCCATCGCATTTCTGCGATAGCCAGGGGGTGGGGGATGCGGCAAGCACGACGCGGTGTTCAATGGAAAAGGTGTGGAGAACTCTATCCCTGTATGCTCAGGCAGATACCACAGGGGTAAAGCATCTTGACGCACCATCCCACCATCCATCTTGTGGTGCAACTCTTTGTCTCTCACAGTGCATGACCGTGGAAGATAACTCGTCCGAAAGGGTGGAGCGCAACAGACGGATGGTAGAATTTGGTCCGAATTTAAACGGTTGCCTCCCACCCCGCTCTCCTTAAGACGAATCTTTTGTAGTNATGATGCGGCAAGCACGACGGGCGTTCGAGGAAAAGGTGGAGAACTCGATCTCTATACACTCAGGCAGATACAACAGGGGTAAAGCATCTTGACGCACCACCCATCTGATGTGATGCAACTCTTGGTTTCTCACAGTGCATGCCCTCGGAAGATAACTCGTCTGAAAGGGTGGAGAGCAACAGACGGATGGTGGAATTTGGTCCGAATTGAAACGGTTGCCTCCCACCCCGCTCTCCTTAAGACGAATCTTTTGTAGTGGTCTCAGTGGTTCGAACTGCGAGTGCCATAACCACCTCCTGAGGCCATGTGGCTTTGATTCGAATTGGACGCAAACTTCCCGCGCCCCTTGAATTTCTGTGTCACGCGGCGTGTGCGACAAGCGCGAAACGTCTAAATGAAAAGTATAAATCCACACACCCACGCCGTAGTGAACAAATTCATGGCCCAGCTCCCAAACCTTCTCAAGCATTATTCAGTTATTCGAATTGGACGCAAACTTCCCGCGCCCCTTGAATTTCTGTGTCACGCGGCGTGTGCGACAAGCGCGAAACGTCTAAATGAAAAGTATAAATCCACACACCCACGCCGTAGTGAACAAATTCATGGCCCAGCTCCCAAACCTTCTCAAGCATTATTCAGTTTAATTTGATCAACTCAAACTTTGGCCGACCCATATCTCAAGAACAGCTTGGTCCACAGTGATTTCTTCAAAACTTTTCACCGAAGAGATCTTACCATATATGCCCATCCTTCAGGACTCTTTTTGGTAAACGCGGACAAGTCTTCAGTGTTTTTCTCGTTAGTGTAGGTAGTGCTACTCTTCCAAGACGGAGTGAGCCTCGGTTTCCGCTGTAAAAAAACACATTCGTCCGTATACCGTACACTAAGCATAAGGGTGACAGTGAAAGGTTAGTGGTGTGGGAGAGGGTGAAAAGGGAAGGACACCATTCTTTTCCAGCATTGAGCGCTAAAGCGCAAGGAAGGAGGGGTATCTGAGCCCATAATAATAATTGGTACAAGTGCTAAGGGATTTTTTGGACCAGAAATCGCGGTCTTTTCCATCTGGGCCTTGAAAGGAAAGAGCACCAGGGTAAACATCAATCGAATGTTCGATTCTTTTCAGTTTCAGTATTTTGCACGAGGCAATCATCTCACCCACCCCGGTGCTCCTCCCTACTAAAGGCTCAGGTGAAATCCGTTTTCCTTTGACTGAAAACCTTCCTAAGCATTAGTAAAGTCGGCTACCCCACCTCCTCCACGCTCCTCTGTCGGAAAAGAGCGATGCCCCCTTCCCCATCCCCGAAATCCCTTTTCACCTGGCACTTTCTTAATTTAGGTTTAATTACGACAGAAGATGCTGAAGCCCATTATTTGTCCCATCTTTTTGGAAAAAGCAGTCGTTTACGACTTTATCTAGACAAGGAAGCACTCCGCCTTCGCATTACCACTCACCACACTGACCAACCAAGACGTTCCATTTGTAGCTAACCTGATAGTTAAAAATTTCAAGGTATGATTTGATGTCTGCAGGCTGGATGTATTCTTTCCATGACCAATCGTTTTCACTTCTTCCAAACCACATGCGAACGTGCAGTATGGCAGGGAACTGAACATGGTGCTACCTTTATTAGTTAATTGAAAATTCAGCTCCAAAAGCACAGTTCACTATAATTTTGGAGTAAATATTTAGCTCAAATGAAGTGATGAATGTTTTGGTGCAGATTATTGCAATGGCGGCGGAGAAAGCGCAAGAAATGGCGGATCTCTAAAAGTATAGTGCTCCGAAAGATAGATGCCCACCTCTGATTCTATGAGGATAAGTTTACTTCGTTCTGGAAGAAGCTATCCAATTCCTTTTCGTGTAGTGGCATGTGGCGCACTATCCCACATGCATGGTGAGGGGTCCGAATCCCGGCTCGATACCCGCATGGGCCAATCAAGCCTCCCATAGCTCCGGGGTCGCTCAATTGGTACCAGACTTGTCTGGGAGGATAAAAGCACTGACTTGCACATCGGCCCCGCATGTCGTTGTGTAGGCCACACACGCATTTAGTACGCCACTAAGATTCCGAATGGAAGTCGAATGCTATGGCACATCCTTCCTATGGAATTGATCAACGCCCAAAGACTTTTTTTTTTACTGACCTTCAAATAACCTCACGTGTATTAACTTTACGGTCTTCCTTCAACAACCATAATGTTCCCTGAAGGTTGCCCGTGTGGGAACTGTGAGAGATTGTAGGCGCTCTTGAATCTGTCTGTGAACGCAGCATGCTTTGACTGCTCTGAGTCCAGCTCGTTGCTGTTACAGATCCGAGTCCAGGTAAGGATATTTCTACCCGAATCCTTGTCACTATGCCTTCCTTCCTTAGATAGAAGGCCCTCTGGTACATTCGCAGCACTGTGAACAGACTAACCTTATGCTAGCTCAAAAAAACTTTTGGGACCCTCTTATTCGCGCATCACATTGGTGACTGCATATGTATGTCGCCTATGCGTTGCTGCGTAATAAGGTAGATTGAAATGATGATGATGATGATTAATCAGATGAATTATTCTCACTGTAAGAGCGTTCAGCTTACATCTTCAAGACGATTTTTCCTATCTGCGAGGGTAGGCCATTTCATCGATATGGCCCGCATACGTCCACACCACTGTCCACAAAGGGCTTCGCTCTCCGAGAAGAATATCTGGATATAGAGTGAGAGTTATTGGTTAGTACAAAGTCTACCGATGGGGTATGGCGATGGTTATTCCTTACAACCGACCTCTTCCACAGGAACAGTAATATATCCTACGACACGACCGCTGGCTAGCATTTTGATGAGAACTGGTGGTAGTGAGATCTGTAAGCAGATGAGTATACTTGGTGGCATTTGGTCTATGGCTGTGGGACTCAAGATGATCACCTGACTATCCATGGCTAACCGTAATACGTTTTCTCGCATTCGCTGCAGGAACCGAACAACTTTCTCGCCCATTTCATCAAACAGTTGCGTTTCGTCGAACTTGAAGCCGTCGATTTCTTTCAGGATCTCAAACATCGATCTTCAATTCAGATGAAAATTATTATAGTCGAAGCTCGTGTTCAAGACCAGCTGACGGGCGGTGGTAGAGTAGTGCCACAACAGTTCCTCGCTGTATAAGAGAAGGACTACTTTGGGTGAATAAGTAACCGTCATCCGCCAGTTCTGCTTGCTCTTTTGCATGGTCAGAAGGTGTAGTCTTAGGAGATGCGGCGAAACTCAGCTTCCTCTGTCTTCTCGGTGGTTGTTTCTGGACCTCTTATCTTCTATGGCTCTGAGTATGGAGAACCCTGAGATGGAAAATCGGGGTAGCCAAGTATGCGGGTGACGCTCCGAAACTGCTCGGCTTTGTACTTGCCTTATGGCTCACATCCAAGATTATGCCTTAGAGATAACATGGCGAGCACGAGCTCAGATACCCACTCCCCCCCCCCCCCCCCCCTGTCATATGGGGCAGTGTTTCTCCTGACCCTTACCTCAAAAGAACGTTAGCAAGGTTTTTTCGATATTTGTTGGGAGGGTGAGTCAGAGTCATGCTTGCCATTCAAGGCACCATATAAGGATTCCAAATTTGGTTTGTTTACTTTCTATGATTTTGACGATTCTGCGAGCAAAATTGCGCGGAACAAAACGCTTTGAGGTTCTCGAGAGAAGTAAATATCGGACAACTCACCTTTTCAATGCATACTTTTCTGGTGCTCTCCCAACAAGTGTCCAATTCATTTGTTATTGTATATGATGACCTAAATCCGTACTTCAAAAGACTTTTCCTCGAGCGTTAAGATTAACATTTCATAGTCATCCACTAACAAGATGGACGAGATGAGCTGATGTAGTCTTCTCTTCATTTCAGGGGGAAGATTGCTGTGCGTATTTCCCGCCCTATACCCAAAATATCACTGAGACACTCTCATGAGCAAGCATCCCCTATGGAGTGCTTGCTGTCGGCCCAGAAGGGATGTTGCGGGCTCACATAAGGCAATAGTTTGGCGGTTCCTCTCCGCGATTTTCCAAGCAAGCGGCGGTGGTTCCACGGCAGCAATAGAAATTTCAGGAAATGGGTTATTCGGATGGCGCAAGTCTGGCACGACCTTGAATAGCTCCCCTCAGGTTGAAGGAGAAGTGATGAAGAAGGGCCTTCATAAGGCTTGTAGGCTGCCGTGTATTGGCTGACCAACTAAGTTAAGCGTTCGAGAAACATTACTAACGCTACAAGCTGCTATTTCCCAAGCTCCATAGCAGGAGTATAGATATGTTTTTTTTTGGTAGTGTAGGTGGAGTGGAGGTGGTTTAGAGGTAAATGGCGCAGACTACCAGAAACAGATCGGCTGGATGTAATTCGTTGTGTAGACCACATACGCATTCGAAAAGTCACTGGGATCTTGAATAGAAGTCTAGTGGGGGAGTTTCAGAGGATTAACGCCAAACGATCTAAAGACTACCCATGTGGCTCCGCCTCGCAATATTGTCACTGAACGAAGGAGATCTGTTGGATTTATTGATCTCGTGCCGCAAAGCATAGAGATAACTTACTTGTGATGCTCTTGTAGTTTCTCCAACATGCTCTGCATATGTTCCAACGCCTCCATTGCTAATGAGGACACTTCATCATTTTTTCCATCACCAATCTTTCTTGCGGCCTTCAACAATTCATCCAACATGGTTGCCACCTAAGTACAATAACCATAATCCAATCGAAGCAGTAGTAGATGTAGAGGACCGCTCCGTTACATCTCCGTAAAGCATTGCCCATTTGCCGTTTGCTACGTAAACCAAGCCCTTGAACGGTTTCATACTTCGCATAGCTGACACTGTGCCCGAATTCCCACGGTCGCAAGCACGCACGCACTGGTGTTTTTGCAGCAGCCACCGTATTTATCCATTGCGATTTCAGACCTATTCTTACACTGCGCGCTCCGACCCAGCGACGTGGCACGCACTTTGGGCACAAGATCCTACTTCCCGATTCGTCCCATGGGCCAGGTTGAGCGTAGGCACTGGGCAAAATCTTGGGGAATGCCTTTCAATACGTAGTTCTACGCAGACAATTAGGCTTGTCGGGGCTTCGTGCGAAACGACCCGATTTGAATAACGAAATGAACTAGAAAATCGAAATTCATTCTTACTTTCATGATAGCGTTGCTTCTTTCTATTCGAGCATCCACATTTTCCCAAAGTCCAGGAACATCAGCCATTGGCTTATGGTTTCCCCATGGCATTGCAAAATATTTTCTATCATCATAATCAGGTAAAGCCTGAATTATCGCAGAATACGAAGTCAAGTAAAAGTAACTGCAATGGGCTAATTATTGAGAGGACGAAAAGAGATAGAATAGTTGTGGGTCTCTGGAACTCACGCCAAGAACAGAACTGCGATTTCGACACAGCTCTACCCCTGTGCTACCGTATTCGCCCATAGAAACCAGAAATGATATTTCGGCACTGGCAAACAGTGGATTGATGAGGTTGCATGCAAAAAATGAGCAGTACACTGTGTAGAGATCCATTTTCTGAAAGTAGTCAAAAATTTGGCCACTCAGTCACTTCGTGATCACTCTAGGACTTCCATCTTTATACCTCTCACTTTGCATACTTTCTGCTGTGCTGTAGCACGCAGGGGTACGAAGTTACGCCGAGTTAGTTGACATGTGCGGAGTATTGGGAGGACAGGAGAAAAATAGTACAGTTGCAGCCGTTGGACTAATAGAATTACGCTCTCGGCATAGCTCTATCTTTGCAAGCTGATTGGAGCGAAGGATTCAGGAGTCTCGTATCTTGGAGACGCTCAGAAGCTGAGCTCTCATATGAAATCGCAGTAGATTTAGATGCTCGAAAACATTGAATTATGGGGCATAGGGTTGTGAGTTTAGAGTTATAACATGAATACAAGTCGGTTACTCCGCATTTACCTGAGCATATCAAGAGACTGAGCTCCTACTGACATGAGCGACAAATTTTTCGATTTGAGAATTGGATGCGTAACTGGACTGATTGCTGCGTTCCCAATTAGGTCTTAGCAGTGCTTCAAAAGAGCTCGAACCTTGATAAGCACAGTTGAACCTAGTTTGTTGATATACTGGCTAATCCGTAAACCAACGTGATGAAAGGATTTCTGTTCAGCGTTGCTCGGAAAGAGTTTCTCGTGGGTTTTGCCGATGGTCAGTCGCAATCTTTCCGGATGCATCAAAAAGTCTGCTCAAGTCGTGTCCGCTGCGCTTAGACCACCACTCTTTCGATGCGCAGGTGAGCAAACTGAACTCTTTCTGTAGGCAATTCTGTTGTCCCTTGACCCTCGCACATTCGGAACTCTTCTTTAAAAGAAGGATTTCCAAAAAAAAGTCGTTCCCTGCTAGTACCTCTCAGGGTAGCCTTCTGGAAGCTGAAAATTAGAAAGAGTTCGTGTATGGGAAAGGGAGAAAATCATAAAAATTATAGTCAATCATGCCCCTCAATCCTTATCAACACTACTCTAAGAGGGCAAAGGTTCGTACTACGAAATGCTGCATGTCAACAGTTGCGTTTCAACTATTGTGCTGGGTCTAAGAGGGGGAATTCATTTCTCTTTGCAGCTGTACAATTTCTGTGCTCTCAAATTTTGATATTAGTAGTCAGAATTTCCAATCGCTGAAGTGTTATTCTGCGATTTCTCATCATCCGATTGGTCATGATAAAGATGTCATGTCAAAGTGACAGTACATGCTCGCTATGTAGCAGACATAAGTAACATAAAATAAAGTTCACCTCGAAGGTTCTCGAATGCATGAGAGAACTGTGTTCGACAAACGTACGCTGGACAGATTCTCCGACATACTCTGCACAATCTGCGGCGACCAGCAGACGCGCCAAGTACCTGCTCGAAGAAATCGCTCACTAAGTTCCTTCGGTTTTTCAAACAGTGTTTTCAAGTACGAAGTTGCTATTTCCATGCAGTTAGGAACAAAGAATTTTAGGGATATTTGAACCTCGTTGCAGTTTTTCTGAAGGCTACGATGTTGGCAACGTATTACGTCAAGCACTGGGATGACTCACTTGCTGCCTCCTTCTTGTACTGCTTTCTTTCCTTTCTTCTTCAGCTTGAATTTCTTCCATTTTTCTTGGCCAAAAAAATTGAGAAAACATGGTCCGTATGTTGGCATAAAACCCTTGTTGCCTGGTTCGTAGATGAGTCTCATGGGAATTGAGGCCTAAATGACAAAGATGAAAGAGTGGGCTAGCTTCAAGCGAAACATCAACATACCTGTCCAAGGCAACGACGAGTACGTCCTTTGCTCATATATAAGTGGAATATAATCTGAAACGTTAAGTGATTGAAATCCTGAGCAAAAAGTCTGAAGAGCTTCAGCGAAGACCTTGGAAATAACAGTGGGCCATAGCATTGGTATGAGAAGATCCTGATTGAAGTTGACAATATCTTCCGCATCCAGGCCCTCTTCATTTTCTGCCATCTCCTCAGCGGTGCTATCGGCTGTTTCATCACCAAATGTAACCTTAACCTGAGGGTGTACAGACTGTGCCCGGCTCAGAGAATGTTGAACTCACCCGAATTGAGAATTTGAGTGGCTTGCCCTTGTTGTTCGCAACTTCTTCGGTTATTTCATCAGCGAGCTGATGAAGCCGAAAGAGTCTCACCTGAGTGAAGACATCGAAATACACCATATTTATTGTCCCAAGAGTGCGCCGCCCACAAAGGTATTTGAACATCTACTAAATAAGTAGGTCAGCATTAGAGCATGCAAAGTGGTGCTTTGAGTCAATGAATGGATCGGGTTAAGTAGAAAGTCCCATAGCCTGAAGGGAACGTTTCGGGAGTCGCACTCATGGCTTATGGGAGATTCCATATAACGGGGTACAACAGTTGTCGCACTGCGGAATCGGTAGGAACTGAGATTTCACTTCGTGCAGGCTTGTGATGAATGTTAGAAACGCTGATCTATGAATGACAGAATCCGCGCTCAACCGACGATCACCACTTCGATAAGATACAAAAGGTGATGTCGAAAAGGTGGATATTACTGCTTCCCCTTTTTTTCTCCGAGCCATAAGCTCCTGCTGAACGTGACCATGCCTGGAAAGGAGCTCATGGAAAATTGGCGGAATTTTTCTCGTTAGCAGGTAGGAAGCAAAGGAGAGCCCATTAATTTTATGGTATGTAGCAACTAGACCTCTGCCTTCTTGACTCGCTCCTCTCTTTTGCTGGTGGTGCTTAAGGTTATCCTGAGACCGATCAGATTCAGTGCTAGATGAAGTCTAATGCAGACGTCCGGCTGTTCAATTCTCCTGCAGCTTCACAGGTGTTGCGGATAACAAGAGAAATTTCATATTTAATAAACCTTCCGTCCTAGATACGACAGCTACGATTGTTTATCCATTCCGGCGCTCAGCATAGATGCTCATTTCAAACAATCCAAATGAAATCAAAGTCTGACAGACAGCCATCCTACTTCGCTCAAGAGGGCCGGTTCTGTTCTTGAGGGAGTTACGGTATTTTTTTATCCACCTAGTACTGTATGATGATCAAGTTGATCTTGAAGATATTGTGGGGGGTAAGATGTTTGATAGGGTAATTTCATGAGTTTGATTAAATCTTTTCAGGTCCCGACGAAGGTGGTTCCACCGAAACGTTAGCCATTAAGGTATTGTAAAACTCGTGCGGAGTTGTAAAAAAAAAAGTTATTTCGGAAATTAAAATAGATTAGTTGCTTGGAACTCCACTTACTCTAAGTGACATTTCTTCCACTTGCGCTCCACTCCATATTTCTTCACTGTCAAGATCATCGTTCATTCGTGGTGGAGATTCCGTCGTAGAGAATACAGCTATAGAAAGCTGAATAGGGATAATATGCTGAGTTTGTAGGCTGGTAGTAAATTAGGTCCCTCAGTTGTATCTTTAACCATAACAGCTGGAAAAGCCAGATGTGACCACCTTTGACTTTAGAGATTGATTAGGCCCCTTCTAATCAGTGGGCCAACCCGAAGTCCCTTGCCATGACATGTAAATGGGAAAATCTTGAATGAAAGGGTTGCTGATAAGTAGCATCAAGTGGCAAAGTATGTCATCGATATCGCCGGATGTTGGGAACTAGGGATACAAAACTCCATTTCTTCATGTATTCTTTATCCCCAACAGGGGCTTAAATGCCCTTTTGAACAGCTCTTCCTGACGATGGTGGTATTCAAGATGGGCATCAGATATTCACTAGGCTTTTTTGTGAAAAACCTTCATAGTAAGTTCTAGGGTAAGATAGAGTGGGATTGCTTTGTCCATAGTCGACCATCAGTGAAGGTCCAGGAACTATCACTACAGAAGCCTTCGAAGGTTCCGGTCAAAAAAACCTTCGAGCAGTAGGGATGCCTCGGAAGGTTGCTTCTGATTAGAGGGATCATTCTGAGGTCTTCTTATAAGTTACCAACCCTACTCGACGTTTTCATCTTTCCGTCGATTTCCTTTGTTATGATAAGACAGCATCACTACCTCCATGCCCAATGTATTGCCAAAGGATCGCATGGGATGTACATATGTTCAGCTATCAATGATAATTCGATCACCTTGAGAAAACCGCAGTTTTCATGTACACCCTCCTCGTCTTCTTCGTCGAATGGCATTGAGAGGGCAACCCATTTTGAAATAATGGCTTTACCAGGCGTATGAACGATGGCCGCCATTGGGCAACAGAATACGCCTTTGACTTGTTCGGAAAAACGTTTGGCTCGAGTTACCTGAAGTACTTCATTCCCTCATGATTGTGACGGATAGAAAATATAAGTATTAGTTCACTTTAATGTCAAGATTTTGTGCAGCAAGATCCTGTAGGGTAATATCTTTGAGCATGAAGACGAGATTCTGCTTCCAGCATGGACTTCCTTGTGCACAGACACGAGTACATTTCTGTAGGCCTTCCAGATAGGCCCGTATGCGCAACGCGCCTGTCTTGAGATCTCTACCCTCAATCACTCGTAGAAGTACCTGGAATAGCGGACAAAACCTGATTTGAATGGTGATTCAAAGAGTTTCTGATTTCTGCCCATCTAGGCATTAAAGTCATGGTTATCCATATATCCTACTCTATAAAATTCGCTAGGCGTATCTATTGGTTTGTCGGTGTGTTTGTTTGTATGTGTTGGTGTGTGTCGGTGTGTGTTTGATCGTAAATTCACAACTCCTATTCGCGTGGACCTAGAATGTTGAAATTTGGTAGGAGCATAGAAGGCAGGATGGGAACACTTATGCTAGGTGGCAGGACCGGACTCCACCCACAGGGAGTGGGGCGTGCGCAACAGAAATTTCTAGCCGCAAATTCGTCACTCTAACAACAGACCCAAAGCGTTGAAATTCGGTAGAATTACACTTTTCGCATTTACAGTGGAACCTCGGCATTTTGTTAAGCGATGTAGGATGTGACGGGATCGTAGGTACTCGGTGACCGGAACCGGTAATCTTTACTGTGGCACTATTTACCCTCTGCTGCCCCACTTTGTCGAGAATAGGCTGGATTTCTATCGAATTTTTTAAAAAGATGAAAGTGACTAGAAGCTTGCCTAGAGGGGTAATTTGACCGTAGAACGCAAATATAGCATCCATTCGTCATGGAATACCTGGCGCCCAGCCACGCTTTTTCTGCGCGACATTCCCATGGCCCGTCGCTAGAGTGCGCGCCAAAACCAATGCCGCGTTTTGGCGCCGAAATCAAATGATGTGTTGTCAGACTCATGAATTTCTCATTTGCATCAAACATGGCTTTCAACATCGCCGTCGCCATAATCGCATGATGGAGTTGAAGGAGCATAACTAGTTCAACGGCCCTCTTCAGGGCCACATAATACGAATACCGAGTATGTGAATAGTTACTATGCAGAGTAAATATGATATCCATGTTCTAGCACACTACTTAGGGGCAAGTTTTCAGCAAGATTGGTGACCCAGCTCCATTTGGCGCCGTGGCATGAGCGCTAGGCATCTTTATAACGAGTGGATAGTGTGATACTCCTGTTCTACGGGTCAAATTACCCATCTAGGCAAGTTTCTAGTCGGTTTCATCTTCTTGAAAAAAATTGATAGAATTCTAGCCCATTCTCGACAAAGTGGGGCGGTAAAGGTTAAATAGTGCTCTTACCTATATATAAAGCGCTCGCGTCTGTCTGTCTGTTTTCACGGGAACTCGACATCACCTGATTAAGAACCTGCAGAAGTTTTATGCCTACGTTCGTGGACATACTGGTAACTGATAAGAGAAGACAAGGGACCTGAGAGAGACCACCTACCAATCAACATCCTAACGTCTTCGGTATTCACGATGTAGCTTAGCCCGTCCATTATGTTTCACTTAGTAAAATGGGGTGGTAGAGTAGGATGACAAAAGAGAGCGGTAAGTTAAGTGATAGGGATTAATGAGCGGCACTACGATAAGCAGATCAGGATTTTGCTCATTCCCTGCTATTAGATTACGACCGCTACCCAGCAAGTTTTGTGACTCAATGAAAGGCCCTTTGTTCGACATTATTTGCAACAAATTCACACTCTCAGTCACTCGCCAGTTATCTAGAATTTTTGACAAAGGATATTTGTGTAAGGAGAAAGGTCTATGTATATGATGGCATCTGATAATAGTGTTATCGTCACTCGAAACACTTGTGAATACTGCCCGAGGCTTTGGTTACCTAACAGTTGAATCTATGATGGGTCTTTATTTCGAGAGAAAAAGAGCGAAAGATCAAGCCTTCGAGTTAAAGGCGTAAGCACCGACCTACACTGAATACCATTTGCACTTCTCTGTTAGTCCTGTGTTAAACTTCCTGTACAATAAAATTTTTTTGTTTCGAAGGAGTGGAAAGTTGACCTATTACTACAACTTTGTCAATGAAGAAGGGAAGCCCGGCGCTTGTCAGGCGAATCGACTGGTATCATTAGCTATGGTTGAAGGTCGAAGTCACTTTCTTGCAAGGAGAGTTACTCACGACATCGCATTCAGTAGCATCATTCAGTCGGTCCAGTCAGCGGCAGTCGATACTACTATACAAGGCACGCTATGAATGAAAACAGCGTGGAGGCATAGCAGAAATAATAGGTGGGAGCACACAAATAGGAGCGCTGGATATTGTATATAAAGGTGTAAGAAATCTATTGATTGTCTGGATATCATACAAGACATCATACAATTCAATGTGTTCAGCACTGGTGTGGATATGAGCTGTAGTGGCGAATCTCTTCAGGAACCGGCTCACTCCCGTAGCTCTTCCTCATTCAATGTTTCCTACAAATCTGTTAATGATGATTGCATAAAGAGTTCAGATGTTGCAAGCAAGAGGTATACTGTAAGGGGCAGTCGTTGCCAATATAATCTATGTCTCCTTCCAGACAGCATGACGGTTTATCCTTTTTAGCTGACTTCAATTCCGTTTGTCGTGCCTTTCGTTCAACTTCGAAAAGACATTGTGGGTCGTGCTCGCGATTGCGTTGCAAAGCTACCATAAGCGGCCACGGGAGGACGCCACGTGGCCATGCACAGCCAGGGAATCCGATTCGGCTCGCGATTATTGCCATTGCTTCGTCTTCATCGACACCGTCGGAAGATCTTGTCCGTTCTTCGTTCTGGTGACCGCACTCTTCGACTCCAACACCAGTCGCAACTCCAGTTTGCATCGCAGCTCCCTCGCTATTGCCATCAACTGTTGGTCATCAACTGATGCTGTCGCAGCCAGCCTTATCTTCGCAAAAGACATATCGAGGTGTGGCTCGCAGCAATATGGATGGCGTCACAGTGTGGTAGGAGGTTGGAAGACCCCAGGTGGCGGATAGGGGAATTATTCGCCGACCATAAGTCACCGGTACTTGCCCAGAGACGCAGGTGGATCAGGGGATGGACTCCTTGATTCTGCTGCACCGATATACCCTCTGTTCTTCGCAAGCGATCCAAGCATACGTGTGTGGAGAGTCTGTGGGTGCAGTTGGAATCCTGCCCATCGACTCGGCCAAAAGCTTGCATTCGAGTGACCGGAAAGTATCTGGGAGGTGATTCGAGGCCGCCTCCAAAGACAAAGCTCCTTGTCCACTTCGGAATAGCCTGGCACGCCCCCGGAGTCAATAGCCCTCACGTCATACCCTGGCAAGCTGCACGTTGGGTATCTACACGCCAAAAACAGTAATAGAATTGGGCCTCATTCCCCTTAACCTGAATGAGCCCCCAATACGGCTGCGTTGAGTAGGACCTAAAATTTCAGGGCCAAAACAGGCTGCCCAAATGGAAAAGGACTAAGACGGCGATCTGTACTTTCAACGCACGGACGCTTACATCGGAAGCGTGCATAGAAGACCGGATGATGCAAGCTAGGA